TTGCCTTTTCCAGGCAGTCTTGACTTTTTATGATGTGCCCAAAGCATGACAGCTTCAGTTTAATCATTTTAGCTTCTAGTTACAGTTGAGGCTCAGTTTGCTCCAGAACCCATTGATTCGTCTTTCTGGTGGTCCATGACATCCGTAACGCTTTCCTCTAAGATGACATTTCATATCAAGCCACCCTTTTTTCTTTCTGGCCTATGAAGCTTCTACACTCCCAGCTTTCACATCCATCCCATGGTAATCAGGAATACCACAATATGGATGATCTTCTTGACTATAGCCGCCGGCCGAGGAGGCCAAGGATGGGAGGGGGGATACAAACATTTAATAATTCCTTTGAGAAGGTGGCTTTTAGATAAGAAAACAGCACCGAGGGGGAAGTAAAGCCACACCCCACTCCAATCTCTTGGCTTTGCTGCTCCAGTCCAGCTCAGAAGCCCCCGTGGGCTATTTCAGAGTGCAAGCAGAATCGAGGACAGACCGTCCAAAGGGAAATACCGTGGGCCCACTGCGATCATTTATGCATAGTCTGCCTCCTCTAAAATAAAAAGGGAAAGAAATTATGTGTGCTAGCAAAGCTTAGGCATATGGCAGGACTCAGCACTTCTTGGCAGGCAACTTCAGTTCATTTCTTTGCCAAGAACGTGATGGGAGTTTTTGAATCTCGTATGCTGCCTTTAGTTGGTTTGGCTAGGAATTTAGTAGGTTTAGCTGGGAAGGACCGTTCTGGGCCGGGGTGACTGTCAATCAATTCAGCAGTAACCAATTGTTTTTTTCCCTGCCTCTGAATTCAAAGAGAGTCCCGCCTCTCTGCTCCGTGTCTTTCTTTCTCTCTTCTGGCTGTGGAATCTCAGTGTAGTCCGTTGAGACCTGTGTCTGAAAGTAATTCTTACTTCTTACAGTGATGCCTCGCAAGACGAGCGTCCTGTTTAACGACGAAATCGCATTACGACAAACTTTTTGCGATCGCAAAAGCGATCGCTTTACGATGGTTTCAATGGGGGAATTTCGCTTTGCAATGATCAGTTCCCTGCTTCGGGAGCCAATTCTCGCAAAACGATGATTTTCGGCCAGTTGATCGGCGGTTTCAAAATGGCTGCCAGGTTTTAAAAAATGGCTCCCTGCTCTTTTCTGGGACGGATTCCTCGCTGCACGGGCAGTGAAAATAGCCACGCTATGGAGGATCTTTGCCGGACGGTGAGTTTCAGGCCCATAAGAACGCATTAATCGGGTTTTAATGCGTTTCTATGGGCTTTTTTATTTCGCATTACGACGTTTTCGTTCTACAGCGATTTTGCTGGAACGAATTAACGTCGTAATGCAAGGCACCACTGTAGTTTGCTCTTATCTGTTCACTGGAAGTCAATGAAATGTTTTACTCTTTCTTTTACTAATGAGCCATTGAGACTGTAAGTGCCAGTAGATGAGAAGAAACAGGGTGGGCAAAACTCGGAACTTAAAGCTATTCTGCTCTGTGAGTTTGCTGCACTTCTGCTAGGCAGTTGGAGGAATTGAACTAAAATTCAAAAGCCTACAACAGAATATTGGTTGTTTTTTTCTTAATTGGTTTTTTTAAAAAAAAACTTGTTAAATTTTTTTTCCACAGACTCCAGAATCCATCCAGCTATTCCAGGTTTGCAGCATGACTTAGACATCCCGAATGAGATATACGGCTGGCAAGGGTTCCATTTTGAGGTTCCAGAATCTCCCAGGTTCTTGGAGGCCAAGGCCAGAAAAAGAAATTCTCCAGGTTTTGTGAGAGGTTTGGGGTCCCAAATTCCTCACTCCACACAGCCAGAGCAGGACCTGGGGTCATATAAAAAACTGCTTTGTAAACTCCCCTCGGGTTCAAAGCAATTTTGTGTATGGATATGGTGGCTGCTAATAGAAATTCAATAGCAAGTCCAAAGGAATCTCTCTCTCTCTCTCTCTCTCTCTCTCTCTCTCTCTGTGTGTGTGTGTGTGTGTGTGTGTGTGTGTGTGTGTGTAAAACTCTTGCTACAGTTCAATGTAGGCTGCTTTACATATCCAGTTTTGCTATGGGTCAGACTGCTACGATTCCCCAGCCACTAAAGACATTGCTCCCAAACATTACGAAAACTAAATGAAACGATATCTAATTTATACAGACCTTAGGGTACAGGATTTCTTTCCTAGATACATGCACACACATAAAGAGAAGAAAAAGGATAGGATGAATAAAGTGGCTTTTAAAATTTAATTTGAATATATTTATTACATTAAAACCCCTTCTTTCATCTAAGGATTGGAAGGCACTCTAGTGGGTGTAGCAGAGAGGGTGATGGACTCCAAAAACCAGGATTTGAATCCCCGCTCCCTCATGGAAACTCACTGGGGGAGTGGAATTGGTAAAGCTAATCTTTAAAGATTTCACTTGCCTTGAAAGTGAACTTTATGTCTAACTTTACAGCACAGAATTGGCTAGATACCCCTTATTTTATAAACCACCCAGAGTGGCCTTAGTAGCCAGATGGTAAAGGTAAAGGTTCCCCTTGACATTGAGTCCAGTTGTGTCCGACTCTAGGGGGTGGTGCTCATCCCCGTTTCCAAGCCATAGAGCCAGCGTTTTGTCTGAAGACAGTTTCCGTGGTCACGTGGCCAGCGCAACTAGACACGGAACGCCGTGACCTTCCCACCGAGGTGGTACCTATTTATCTACTTGCATTTTTGCTTTTTGCATGCTTTCGAACTGCTAGGTTGGCAGGAGCTGGGACGAGTGACGGGAGCTCACTCCGTCGCATGGATTCGATCTTACGACGGCTGGTCTTCCGACCTTGCAGCACAGAGGCTTCTGTGGTTTAACCCGCAGTTCCACTCATGTCCCTTCAGTAGCTAGATGGGCAGTATATAAATTGAATGAATGAATGAATGAATGAATGAATGAATGAATGAATGAATGAATGAATGAATGAATGAATGAATATTCTCCAGGATCCCGGCCAAAGGGAGATAGGAAGCTGGGCTTCCCCGGTCAGAACCAGACTTTAGGAAGCAAATTGGGGCAAGTGAGAGTAAGCGGCCTATCTTCACCCCATCCCCTAGTGCATGGGAGGATTTGAACTCAGAGCGATCCCCTGCCCTTCTCTAACCTTCTAATTATCCACCCACTGACTTGCGGCAAAGAATGAGAACACGCAGGAAACACCTTAAACCTTCAGCCACTCACCTTTCTTCCTCTTTATGCCGAAATAAAAGGCTGTGGTGGTCACGGCAGCTAGGAGGAGACAGGCGATCCCAATGGCCACTGGGATAAGGTAGTGATGACTGGCATCTGAAGACAAACATGACAATGTCAAGGGAAGTGTTGAGACCGGCCCTTCAGAGGCACGGCTATATCGACCTTGTGCAAAAGCTGGAGCGAATATTGTAGGGAATGGAAAGGAGGCAGAAGCTGACGGGTTTCCTTTTTGTGCATTACACCGCACAAGGCCAGTAATGTGGGGCATGGAGCTTGCGAAACTGTATTTTGGGGGTTAAAACTCCCCACGTGACCAAGGCTACCTGGAACACAGGTATGTATCAGGTCACACCCACGTCAATTCTGTGGCCTGGCCAACCTCAGACTTTTTGCTGCCTGAACCACATCAGCAATGGCACCAAAGCACTCACCCCGGTGGCCGCTCTCCTAAGCCAAGCACCCGCTGAGTCAAGCCGGTGAGGCAGAAAACCCCTCCAGTGTCTTTTCCTACACTCAAAATTGTGCGGCCACAATTACAGTAGGACCCCCACCCCACCCCATCTCTGTGGAGGATTCGTTCCACAATCGACCACAAATACCTGAAACGGGGGACAGTCGTAGCGAACCCGATGTGCCATATTAGGGATGGGCAGAAACCTTTAAAATGGTGGTTCGTGATGGTCTGTGGTTAACCACAACCCACCACGAACCAAACGGAAAACTACCGTGGTTCACAGTTTGGGTTTTGTTCATGGTGCGTGTGTGTGAGCTGGAGTCCTGAAGGCAGTGCGTGTTGTTCTGGCAACTCCTGCGACGTTGCTGGAACCAGTTGTATTGGCTCCTGACTTTCCATTGGACCATTTCAGCAATGTGGAGAGGGGGGATTTGCTGCTTGGGTAACAGCCTATCCTGCATACTACTTTACCCAGGCTTCATGCGATACAGAGCATGTTACCATAGTCTCTCGAGACTGAAGGATGCCTATGAGTGTGTATGTGTGTGGGGATTCCCGACCTGTTCCCGTCACCTCGCTGCCACCATCGCACCACCTCCCCAGGGGGCTGGGCGCCGTGGGGCCACGGGCAGAGACGGCCACTAGGCTCTCTGCAGGGAAGCCGGTCGATGCCTCTGGGAGTTGGACCCCGGGCACCTGGGCTGGCATCAGCAGGGGGGCTTCCCAGCAAGGAGCCCGGGCACGGCCTCTGTGCATGTGGCCGACCTCCAGCTGATCACCTGGATCCGCTGGGGGGAACGGGCGCATGCGCAGAGGCAACCGGCCCGACTCTTGGAAGGAAGTGACATTATCACCGTCTCTGACGATGGTGGTGGCAGTAGAGGAGGAAGCCGTGGCGGGACCAGGGAGGAAGGCGAGGGGGTTTGTGGGGAGGGGAGGGGTGAACGATGCCCTGAAGGGGAAAATGTCCAGCCCCTCGTTTGGCTGCTGCAAAACCGGGATCCCCGAACTGGGATGCAAACCGAACCACGAACCCAACCCGTTGAGTCTTTTCTGGTCTGGTCCGTGGTTTGGTTCGTACCCTTTCCTAGGCAATATACAGGGAGGTAAGACGAAAGCCTCAAGGCCCATCCTTTGAATGTCATATCTAGGGCTGTGGGCAACTGAAATGGTGGATAATGATCCCGTGGATCTAGGAGGTCCCACTCTATAACAAATTGAGTGGCTCATAATTGGATGGCAGTCCCCGGAGGTGGTGGTGGCAATTCTGGGGTATAAAAGGCTTCCCCCATCCCTCGTCCTGAGGCTCCCAAATACTTCCCCAGGTCTAAAAGGAGTTCTTGGGAGCATTGGAACACGAAAGCGGGAGATAGGAAACTTTGAATCAATTTAAATGAAAGGGTAATGTTGCAGGCTGATGACATCACCCTCCTCACCTGTTGTAAAGTTAGGCCAAGAGGATTTCAGCCTTTACCCCAAGTTCAACAAATCTGAAATACCTTGTTTTAGTCATTCAATGCCAAGGTGGTTCTCTTTCAATATTGCAACAAATGGCCACCACCCAGAAGTGAGTTGCAACTAGAGTAGGCCCACTGAACCAATGGAAGTTACTTATACGTTGACTCACCCTATCCCCACTGATTCAATGGGCCTGCTCTAGTTGCAATTTATGGCTAGATTTCAACCAATATTTCCCCAGGGGTAGCTAGAGCTCCGGAAGATGGCTCGGGAAGTTTGCATTCCCACTGCCTTTGAAAGCGGGGCCAGGCCTGGTTACACCAGTAATCCTGAGGAACTCTGAGCCACTGGAAGCACCTACAATGAAAAAGAGCTCCCAGTTCTGCATACCTGTTCACCACATACCTTTCACTACCACTTGAGTTCCACCCCCTGTTTTCCAGTCTTCCTCAGATGATTTTTTCTGCTTCACACAGAAATATTTTCCAGCATCCTCCAGAGTAACATTATGGATGAAGATGGTAAAATCTCCGTCAGATTCTCGGTATTTCCTGCTTACTCTTTTAAAACGTTTCCATTCTTTGTCTGAATAGACCTCCTTCCGCTGGGCGCCTTCGCCCAGGTACCACTTGACAGAGCCGGGTTGAATTCCAGTGGTCACCAGACATTCCAGTTCAAGAGTGTCTCCTGTTCGAACAGAGACGAACTCCCGTGGTTGGCTAACCTTTGCCTCATGGTCTTTGACACCTGGAAAAACAGACACCCGTTAGTTGTTGTAGGTTTTTTGGGCTGTTTGGCCACGTTCTGGAGGTTTTTCTTCCTAACGTTTCGCCAGTCTCTCTGGCTGGCACAGCCACCAGCTTTTAACTGCACCTCACGTTTCGCCAGTCTCTGTGGCTGGCACAGCCACCAGCTAGTTTTTAACTGCAACTTCCAGCAGACCTTCCTTGCTCCGAATGGGTCAAGACTTAGAGAGCTTAGTGGGCACATCAAGACTGAGGCTGCGGTCACACTGGCAGAAAGAACCACATTTAAGCATCATTTGAATCTATTTAGATGTTATCATTCACTCTTGAGAGTCCCCTGGACTGCAAGGAGAACAAACCTATCCATTGTAAAGGAAATCAATCCTTAGTGCTCCCTGGAAGGACAGATCCTGAAGCTGAGGCTCCAATCCTTTGGCCATCTGATGAGAAGACTCCCTGGAAAAGACTCTGATGTTGGGAAAATGTGAAGGCAAGAGGAGAAGGGGACGACAGAGGACGAGATGGTTGGACAGGGTCACCAAAGCTACCAGCATGAATTTGACCCAACTCCAGGAGGCAGTGGAAGAAAGGAGGGCCTGGCGCGTTCTGGTCCATGGGGTCACAAAGAGTCGGACACAACTTAATGACTAAACAACAACAACAATTCACACGATGCAAGGGTGACATTGATTTATATGGGCTACAAAGCAATTTCCCCCCCCCAATTGGCCAGCAGAAGCTTTTTAAAATGCCTCGCTTTTAAAATCAATTGAATTCAATGATGTTTTGTGGATGTAAATGTTGCTGTCATTTTAAGTTGTGCCTATGTGGATGTTGGGTGGCAGGGGCACCACCATTTTTCCGTTTAAGTGTTTTTTTTTAAAATATTCTTTCTTAAAATGTTTGTTGCTGCATCACTTCATCTATACATTCAGCATTACAACCACCTATCCTGTTCACCTAGACAGCATCTTAAAAAGCAGAGACATCACCTTGCTGACAAAGGTCCGCATAGTCAAAGCTATGGTTTTTCCAGTAGCGATGTATGGAAGTGAGAGCTGGACCATAAAGAAAGCTGACCGCTGAAGAATTGATGCTCCTGAATTGTGCTGCTGGAGGAGACTCTTGAGAGTCCCCTGGACTGCAAGGAGAACAAACCTATCCATTCTGAAGGAAATCAACCCTGAGTGCTCCCTGGAAGGACAGATCCTGAAGCTGAGGCTCCAATCCTTTGGCCATCTCATGAGAAGAGAATGTCATGAGATGGGATATTTGGTTGAGATCTTGTACTGAAGATGGATTATGTAGTAGTGAACAATATAAGAGGGATTCCATATTGGTTCTCTGCATAGATGATTTCTGCAATGCTAACAAAGTATCTGCTAGTAGGAGGATGGGAGAATGCTCTCCTGAAGGCCTGAGAAGAACATTCCACGATAAGATAGATGGACTTTGTTGTGGCTTATTGCAAACTCAAATAACATCTGTTACCCATGTGAAAGGAATGGAGTAGAAGAACAGGACTGTTTACCCAACGTCGTGCCGTGATTGGATGACACCGTGAGAAGAAGAAGATAAGGGATATGCCAGCTAAGCTTGAAAAAGGAACTTTTGCTTATGGACAATGATGAGGAAGTAGGGTACAATGTGGCTTAGTTAGTTTGGAACAATATGGCTTAGTTTGATCAGACAATATGGATTAGTTTTTAGAGAGATGTGATTATTAGCTGTAGTAAAATTAATAGAATAGGATATTTCTTTTACAGGATTTTTCTTTTTACAGGATAATGATGGACTTTGGACTTCTACCCTTATTTGGATTATTTTCTTCATTGGGCTTTTCCTAATGGATTACCTTTTTCGATTAAAGGGGAGGCACCTGCCTTTTTGCCTTCTTAACCAGTTTTTACTTGTTTTCTTGAATTTTTGGAACTTTTAGCTATTTTTAATACTTTTATATTTTTCATGGATTCTTTACTTCATTACAATTTTGTAACTAACCTGGGAATTGATAATTGACATGCTTTTGCATAAACTGACTATTTCTTTATGGAATTTTCTATTCTCTTTAATAAAACAATGACTATAAAAATCAATTGGTCTCTTGAACAGTAAACTGTCATAGGTCATCCATGATGGTATTGACTCGGCCTAATTTTACTTAATGAATCCTAACCTGTGGATCTTAGTATGTCTAAGGACTACAAAATCCACATGGCATTCTATCTGAAATATCCTAAGGTACAAGAGTGTTCTTATTAGGACAAACTTGTGAAAGGGTGTTGTGCACAGGCCTTGCTGAGATCCAGGACTCTCTCAGCACCATTAGGGTGTGCAGACTCCTAATTACTTTCTGTCCGCCGTCCAGGTGTCCTCTAGAGCAGTGGTCCCCAACCTTGGGCCTCCAGATGTTCTTGGACTTCAACTCCCAGAAATCCTGGCCAGCAGAGGTGGTGGTGAAGGCTTCTGGGAGTTGTAGTCCAAGAACATCTGGAGGCCCAAGGTTGGGGACCACTGCTCTAGAGGACCCTTGGTCATTACAGAGAAGACTCCCTGGAAAAGACCCTGATGTTGGGAAAGTGTGACGGCAAGAGGAGAAAGGGACGACAGAGGACGAGATGGATGGACAGGGTCATCGAAGCGACCAACCTAAATTTTACCCAACTCCGGGAGGCAGTGGAAGACAGGAGGGCCTGGCGTGCTCTGGTCCATGGGGTCACGTAGAGTCGGACACGACTTAATGCCTGTTCGCTCCATTCGACTGATGAAGGAGCCAGCAGAGTAGCAGAAGACCAGTGGGTGCAGAGCGGGTCTGGAGAGGATGTGCCAGGAGCATCGCCCCACAAAGCACTGCAAGCTTTTCCTCCATTCTCATGTTTTCATCATAAAACAGCTGGGGTCACCTCTCCAGTGTCCCATGGTTTCTAGTGACTATTATGACAGCAGGTGGCACGTCCTAGATACTCGGTTTATCAATGTATCACTTACTCCTTCGCAAATACATATCATTTACTCTCTCTCTCTCTCTCTCTCTCTCTCTCTCTCTCTCTGTCTTTTCAAAAAACGTAAGAAATACAAAACCTCTGAGAACAGCACGCTCCAATGAGCAAGGAAATGACTTGATTTCAACAGTGTAGATGCCAAAAGCGGTTTAAATATCCAGAAATCAATCAATGTCCATTCAGTGCATGAGAATGTGGTCCCTGGTGTAATGCCACATGACTTGAGCCTGACTTCTAAAAACAGAAGTCGATTCAAATTGCTATTGTGACTACAGACTCAAGTCTTGGTCTCAGCCAGTAATCCCATCTCTATATCCGGCACATTTCCTCCCCAATTGGGGTGGTCTTGGAATCATTTTCCCCCCGTCAGCTTTCTTTACTGCCCAGCTATCACAGCTACCCGAGGATGAGATGGCTGGACAGTGTCTGCGAAGCAACCAACATGACTTTGACACAACTCCGGGAGGCAGTGGAAGACAGGAGGGCCTGGCGTGCTCTGGTCCATGGGGTCACGAAGAGTCGGACACGACTAAACGACTAAACACATCACAGCTATATGTGGATGATCTGCCCTGGACATCAGATGAGCCTGACTTCCAGTAAACAGTACCTTTAGGCTCCTGGTCTCCGTTATGAAGGACATTCCCTCTGAGAGATGCCGGGGGCCTCCCCTTTCCCTAAGAGGAACGGTGGATTTGGTGGGGAAATCTACCCCACGGCCACCTTTTGCAAATGGGGAATATAGGGCTGGATATCTTTTGCAACTGAAGAGGTGAAGCGCCACGCTGCACTTATTACCAGGATGCACCCCAGTCTGACCCATGTTCCTTAGAAATAGGTCACACTCCCTTGTATGGCCTTGGTCCTATGGATGTGCAAACCTGGTGGTGGCCAAAGCTAATTTAGCAATCTCAGAGCAGGGCCTGATTCGGTGCCAGAATGAAGAGGGTGTCCAATTTTGCTATGGGAAGGGTGCAAATTCACTCTGCTTCTGAAGGGATGCCAACCTACACAGAGCACCTCCTTTCTGCTCCTCCCGGCGGAAAGGAATGCAAAGCAAGCAGGGTCAGAACGGCACTGATACAGCTGTTCCTTTGGGCTTTCCCTGTGCATGCCCATTTCCGGTTGCCAAATGTAACCCATAGGACTTTTGATATAAACAAAATCTCTAGTCATGATTCCCACTGTTCTAGGCATGGGTACACCCCTTTGTATATGACGGGCGGCCTTCCACTTAACAGCAGCAGGGATCCCTCCTGCAAGATGGAAGTGCTCCGGCTCTTGGCTGGTCTAGCCTTTGATCCCCTAAGAAAAGTGGGAAGCGAGGGATTCCCTATCTCTCTCTCTCTCCAAAGAAACAATAATCATGTGCTGTCAAGTCAATTCTGGCAACCCTTTCCAGAGTTTTCCTGGTAGAGAATTCTCAGGAGTGGTGTCTCCCTTCCCTCCTTCTGGGAGCATCTTGGGGTGGCGCAGTTTGCCCAAGGCTACACAGGCTGGCTCTTCTGAGATGCACGATGGGGGGAGGAGAATCGAACTCCCAGCCTCTGGCTCCACAGCCAGAGACCTAAACCGCTGAACCTATCCAGCCAGCTAGGAAGAGACAAAGGTAGTTTTGAGTCCTCGTTATTTATTTACGGAAGAGTTTTTATCTATTGATCGGTTTCACGAAAACGCTGTCCTTTCCATGTTGTTATGCTGTAGTTTGAGATCTTTTTTCTTAATGCTTTCAAAATGGATGTTGACAGAAGCATGCCATTCAAGGTTTAGCCAGTAATATCATTCAAGATGGTCCACTTTCTCAACTCTTCCCAACCAACACAAGAAAGCCCGGACTCTAACCAGATAGATTGATGTCCAGTGCCACCTATTGACCAAAAAGGATGGGAAAACTGTTCCTCTTTTGTTTAAAGAAGCAGTAAAGGTAAGGGTAAAGGTTCCCCTTAACAGTTTGTCCAGTCTTGTCCGACTCTAGGGCACGGTGCTCATCCCCGTCTCC